TAAATATACTTTATTACTAGCTGAAGTCATCATTTTTCAACTAGCTAAAGTCTAAGTTACAGGCTGACTTCAGGTCTGGTTCAGATCATTGTTATTTATAAATTATATATTTTTTCTGGTATAAATATGCTGTTTTACGATTGTGGAATGAAATTAACATAATTATTAATTTATTGTAAAAACATGACAGATAATCTGTGAAACAGATCCAGTTCAGCTGCTGTTTATCTATTAGTTTCTATGGAGGCTGTGAGCTGTTGTCCTGTTTGGTCTGTTTCTGCTCCTCCATGCTGTCACAGACACTACCAGTGGACGGGATGGGCGGGGCTCAGTCTAGTGATCTATTTTCAAGTCAATGGGATCAATGTATCGTCAAACACCTATCCAGTAGTTCACAAATGTACAATTACATGATTGCCTACCTCTATTAAATGCAATTAATAACTGGTGAGATAAGTGACCTGAAAACACAAAGTGATGATGCTGAATTTAAAAACTGAAACTAATACTCACAGGAGGACCAGGAGGTCCGGGTGAACCACTCTCTCCTTTTGGACCTGTTTGACCCTGCAAAAGAAATCAAACTCAGGATTACTGTTTATGATTGTCATCATAATGATCTGGTGCACTCAGTAAAACACTTACAGATGACCCTTTGGCTCCTTTAGGACCTGGAGGACCCTACAGACACAAATGTGATCCAGAAATCAGTACCGGCTCTGACAACTGGCAGTAGTTCAGAACATACAGTATAATGAGTTCATACTTACAGGTAACCCAGGGGGACCGATGGGACCAAGTGGACCTGTAGGACCAGCAATACCCTGAAGGAGAGAGAGAAGAAATCCTTAAATGAACTTACACTTTACCCCTGAAGGATTAGGATCAACAAACATGAGCTACTGTGGCCTCAACTCGTTTAACTCAAAGAAAAACTGTTGGGATCTGTTTGACTTACATTGTCTCCTTTAGGACCTGAGGTTCCTGGGGGTCCTGGAAGACCTCTGTCACCTTTTTCTCCCTGTTCACCTGGGGGTCCAATAAGACCAATAAGACCCGGATGACCCTGGGGACAAAACAAACCACAATAGTGAATACACAATAACACCTGACACACTTTAGGGCTTAAGAGCAAGAAGCCAGTCAATCAGATCCATCATCAAAGAGTTTTATTAGTTTTGTTTCATGTTGGATTTGTTCACCTTTTCTCCTTTAACACCAGAGTCTCCTTTCAGACCAGGTAAACCAGGAGGACCCTGCGACATTGAAATAACATGTTAGTCAGATCACACCACACAGTCATACCAGAGTCACTTCTACTCACCATGGGTCCAGGAGGTCCATCTGGGCCTGGAGGACCAGGAAGTCCTTGCTCGCCCTTCAGACAAGTACACATTTATTATCACATTAGACCCATATATACAGTAACAAGATGGATTATTTTTACTGGAAAATGATTGTCTGCATGTGAAATTACTTACAACTGCACCAGGGATACCCCTAAGCCCCTCAGAACCAGGCTTTCCAGGTGATCCTTGAGGGCCAACAGGTCCTGTCTTTCCTTGTGGACCTTCTAGACCAGACTCTCCCTTTAAGACAGAAACAGGATTCACACAAAAGGTTTTATTCTCAAAAGTTTGAAGGTCATTTTTTATTATTGCTATAAAGGATGAATGAAGATGATATATATATATATATATATAT